TTAGAGAATGGTTTATATTCAAAATTGGACCCGGTAGGTGGCATTGTTGTCGAGATCCATAAATCGACAATAAACCGTGGGAAACCGGGGCTGATCGCTAATAATTATTATAGCAGTGTCGTGCTGTAGTAATTAAGCAATATTTAACAAATTTCATAGCGGACCAGAGTAAGGAGATTGCATTATCCTTCTATAACCCTACAGGCATACTGTTAGTAACTATAAGTGGAAGAAATATTATAAAATAAAAAATTAAGTAAAAAATTAAAAGTTAAATAAGTAAATACTTTTATTTAATAAACTTTTAATATGATTGCAATTTTTTCATACATTGGTATGATAACTGGGTATACCCTGACTTTAAGCAACTACAATTTGTAAAACCTTCGCGGTCAAGGAGAGAGTATAATTAAATGGTTAAACGAACTTACCAAAGTTCGACCACAATAATGCGAATCTTCTTATACGAGACGACTTGTTCGAGGGATGCTTATCTTATTTTTCTTTTGCTTTAAACATGATGAAGTTTGACAGATATGTTGAAATGGTGCTGTGCCAATTTTTATGAACGCTTTTATACATTGTGATGGAATTTGCATGAATACGTATACTATTTTCAATCGTCATCTTCTTAATATTGTCGGATTTTATTTATTCTATATTGTTCTATAGCACTCTATAGCCTATAACTCCGTAAGCTCTGAAACGCGCCTACAAAATCTGCACTTTAACAAACACAGATGGTGAACCCGAAAAGTTTGGACTGCATGGTGACTGACTGGTGATCTGCATACAAGCATTAACAGTAAGTGCGTTCACACCTTGCCAATGCCTCTCTATCTGCGCTTTTTCTATTCACCTATCTAGTTTTCAGAGTGTACAAGTTTTTGGTATTTTTATTTATTGTACACACACACCGCACCAGCGATACCGCGTGGCAGTGAAAATGACTATTTCCTTTTGATTGTAAACAGATTTTCTATAAAAGAAAATATAGTAAACAAGTTATTATTTTTTCTCACATTATTTGGTTGACCTTAATTTACTATTCAATTGTGTAAGAAAAATTATTCATTCTGACAGTTAAATAAATACGAAAAATTAAACGCTCGAAACAGTCAAATAAGGAATAAATTACCGTAATAAATTAAAAAGATTATAAACGGTACTAAAAGGATCTGCGACAGAGTAAAGTAATTTTGCAAATAAAGCTAGCGAAGATTTATTTACCTTAAGGCTGTTACATTGCTCAAATCGTGAAAAACGCCCAGGTTTACAAAAAGTTATAGCCGAATCCTTTCGTTTGTTTGCTACAAAAAAATTATGTTTTATAGTTTAGATCATCACAATTTATTTTTATTGTTTAAAATTTTTGAATATTTGACCATTATTACAAAAAAAAATCAAATACAAAGGCTGTTTTAAACTTATTTTGTATTTTTTCTCAAGAAAGGCTCAACAGTTTAAGATTAAATTTGTATTGAAATATTTGTTAAGTCATAATAAAATAATGTATTGTTTTTATTGTATTTTTGTTAAATATTTTTCTTAAAGTATAGTAAAACATAATTCGGCCTCTTTCCACTCCCCGAAGCTCCCCCGCTATGGCCTATTACGGATATTTACTAGTGTCGGTTCGACTCTTGCGACGGGTGGACTGTGCGCGCGTTATTTTCTAAAAAAAATATTGAAAAGTTGACAATATTTCAAATTTATAAAAACAGATTTGTTGTAAATAAAACGTACATTAGCAATAGTTGATAAAAAATTAGAAATTAAGTTGATTTACGTAAATAAAATCGTTTTTAGTTTTAGTTTTGTATATAATCGTATCATAGAATAGACAAAGCTTGACAATGCCGAAATACAAAAGCAAGTCAAAAGTGAAGCGTGGCCAAGCTCTTCAAAATTATTGGTAAATAAATTATCCTAGATTTATTTTCTTTTGTGTAAATACTTATACAGGGGTACTTATACAGCGTTCCGAAAACTGTCGTGTTTCCTTCTATTGTATAGGCGGAGAATTTATTGAGCCGCAAATAAGCAAATAAGAAAAAATATAAAGTAATATGAACGTAACCATTTTTGGCTGGTTCGATGCTACAGTCCTGCACTCCGAAGGTGGGTACAGGATCTCAGTGACGGAACCATGTAAAACCATCGTGTTTATACTCATTCGAAAGGGCTCGCAGCCACCTAGCTGATTGTGATGATTTCACTTACCTGATGCTGCACTCCGAAGTAGTTCGAAGGTGGGTACAGGATCTCAGTGACGGAACCACGTAGAATAGAAACATCGTGTTTGTACTCATTTGAAAGGGCTCGCAGTCACCTAGCTGTTTGTGATGATTTCACTTACCAGATGCTGCACTCCGAAGTAGTTCGAAGGTGGGTACAGGATCTCAGTGACGGAACCACGTAGAATAGAAACATCGTGTTTGTACTCATTTGAAAGGGCTCACAGTTACCTAGCTGTTTGTGATGATTTCACATACCTGATGCTGCACTCCGAAGTAGTTCGAAGGTGGGTGCGCGATCTCAGTGACGGATCCACGTAAAACCATCGTGTTTGTACTCATTTGAAAGGGCTCGCAGTCACCTAGCTGTTTGTGATGATTTCACTTACCTGATGCTGCACTCCGAAGTAGTTCGAAAGTGGGCACGCGATCTCAGTGACGGATCCACGTAAAACCATCGTGTTTGTACTCAGTTGAGAGGGCTCGCAGTTACCTAGCTATCTGTGATGATTTCAATTACCTGATGCTGCACTCCGAAGTAGTTCGAAGGTGGGTACAGAATCTCAGTGACGGAACCACGTAGAATAGAACCATCGTGTTTGTACTCATTTGAAAGGGCTCGCAGTCACCTAGCTGTTTGTGATGATTTCACTTACCTGATGCTGCACTCCGAAGTAGTTCGAAGGTGGGTACAGGATCTCAGTGACGGAACTACGTAGAATAGAAACATCGTGTTTGTACTCATTTGAAAGGGCTCACAGTTACCTAGCTGTTTGTGATGATTTCACATACCTGATGCTGCACTCCGAAGTAGTTCGAAGGTGGGTGCGCGATCTCAGTGACGGATCCACGTAAAACCATCGTGTTTGTACTCATTTGAAAGGGCTCGCAGTCACCTAGCTGTTTGTGATGATTTCACTTACCTGATGCTGCACTCCGAAGTAGTTCGAAAGTGGGCACGCGATCTCAGTGACGGATCCACGTAAAACCATCGTGTTTGTACTCAGTTGAAAGGGCTCGCAGTTACCTAGCTATCTGTGATGATTTCAATTACCTGATGCTGCACTCCGAAGTAGTTCGAAGGTGGGTACAGAATCTCAGTGACGGAACCACGTAGAATAGAACCATCGTGTTTGTACTCATTTGAAAGGGCTCGCAGTCACCTAGCTGTTTGTGATGATTTCACTTACCTGATGCTGCACTCCGAAGTAGTTCGAAGGTGGGTACAGGATCTCAGTGACGGAACCACGTAGAATAGAAACATCGTGTTTGTACTCATTTGAAAGGGCTCACAGTTACCTAGCTGTTTGTGATGATTTCACATACCTGATGCTGCACTCCGAAGTAGTTCGAAGGTGGGTGCGCGATCTCAGTGACGGATCCACGTAAAACCATCGTGTTTGTACTCAGTTGAAAGGGCTCGCAGTTACCTAGCTATCTGTGATGATTTCAATTACCTGATGCTGCACTCCGAAGTAGTTCGAAGGTGGGTACAGGATCTCAGTGACGGAACCACGTAGAATAGAACCATCGTGTTTGTACTCATTTGAAAGGGCTCGCAGTTACCTAGCTGTCTGTGGTGATTTCACTTACCTGATGCTGCATTCTGAAGTAGTCCGAAGGTGGGTAGAGGATCTCAGTGACGGAACCACGTATAGTAGAACCATCGTGTTTGTACTCATTTGAAAGATCTCGCAGTTACCTAGCTGTCTGTGATGATTTCACTTACCTGATGCTGCACTCAGAAGTAGTTCGAAGGTGGGTACGCGATCTCAGTGACGGAACCACGTAAAACAATCGTGTTTGTACTCATTTGAAAGGGCTCGCAGCCACCTAGCTGCTTGTGATGATTTCACTTACCTTATGCTGCACTTCGAAATAGTGCGAAGGTAGGTACAGGATCTCAGTGACGGAACCACGTAAAACCATCGTGTTTGTACTCATTTGAAAGGGCTCGCATTTACTTAGCTTTCTGTGATGGTTTACATACCATTTCTGAAAATGCTTTTATTGTACTCTTTTTGTTGAGTTGCGATAATATTTCTAATGTATCTTTATGTTTTTAGGCAATTGAGAAATCAGCAGAAACCCCATTCAGAAAATCAGGGGAAAGATCCGTCAACTGAATGTAATGCATTACATTCATCTACGACTATTGCAGAAACTCACGATCCGTTCGGTATGGCAGTTGATGAGGAGACTTCGCTGCCGGATATTACGGTAGCTACTTTTTACAATTAAGAGTGCCATTCTATTTTTAATGTTGTTAAATTGAACTTTGACTCCAGATCCCCATTGCGCATTGATAAACATTCGTTTCTGGTAAACAAAAACGTATTGAGGAAACCGACAAGTCTGGGAACCCATAAAATTCGACACATTCTATCCAAGATAATATTATAAACGGAAATTTTTTTTATATGAATTTAGCAATGTATTACATGATAATTATTTTGTTCTCAGCTTCAACAAGATGACATTTTACCGGAATTAACTATTGAGAAGAATCAACCAGTAACAGAAAAAAGAAATATATCTGGCAGACGAATTGTTGATATAAAATACTTTTTTTCAAAATTGCAAGAAATCAGCAATCATAGCCCCTATAACTGTGTAGTACAAAGTTTAAAAATTGTTGGAGAGAAACGAGTTGGATTGTCATCCAAGTTTACTCTAGAGTGTTTAATGTGTAAAGGAAAGTTTATATTAAATAATGTCCCAGGTGATCTGGAAATAAATACAGAATCAGTCGCTGGTGCGTCGATGTGTAAAGAAAAGTATATTCTAAATGTCTCCGGTGATCTGGACATAAATACAGCTGCGGTTGCCGGTGCAGTTTCTGTTGGTATAGGCTACTCACAATTAGAGGAATTACTGTCAGCGATCGATTTACCTATGATGACTGAGCCTCTGTACCAAAAACAGCACGAGTTTGTTTCTAACGCCTGGGAAAAAGCACTTGATCAATCCATGCAAGAAGCCGCAGAAGAAGAAAAAAAGATTGCTTTAGAAAAAGGTCGTGTGACCACTGATGGCATACCTATTATAGATGTTATTGTTGATGGATGCTGGAGTAAGAGGTCTTATAAAAAGAATTACTCAGCACTTTCAGGAGCTGCTGCCATAATCGGAAAAGAAACGAAAAAAATTTTGTTTCTCGGTGTTAAAAATAAGTACTGCAGCATATGTGCGCAAGATTGTAACAAAAATCAAACTCCGAGAGCTCATCAGTGTTACGAAAATTTCACGGGTGCTTCTACTGCCATGGAATCAACCCTGATAGTAGAAGGTTTTAGATCATCTGTTGAAATGTACGGTCTGATTTATGGACGTCTAATATCTGACGGAGATTCTAGCACGTACTCTAAAATATTAGAAGCAAGACCTTACCCTCAATTTACAGTTGAAAAAGTAGAGTGCAGAAATCACCTTTTAAGAAACTTGTGCAACAAACTGGAAAACCTGATCACAGATACAAAATATCCCATACATCTTAGAAAATTAATTACGAAAAAACGCATAATGACTATTAGGTCCACAATTAGAAAATGCATCAAAAAATATCATGATTCTACAGAGACTATAGATTTTTGCACTCACAAACTTTTTGAGGACATTCAAACTGTACATTTACATGCCTTCGGGAACCACACCAACTGTAAAAACTATTTCTGTAATTGTCGTCAAACTGAAACTGAATCAGTATTGGCGGATTTTTTCACAAGTTCTTTATGGCAGAGAATATGTTTTATTATAAATAGTATTGCTGGCCATTCAAGAAGTCTTGTTCATGATATTGATAGTAACATCGTAGAATGTTTTCACAGCGTTGTGGCCAAATTAGTTGGGGGTAAAAGAGTAAATTACTCTCTGAGGCGCGGCTATCAAACTAGGTGTTCAGCTTCTGCAATTACGTTCAATACTAAAAGAAAACCTACTACAATATTGTACAAAACAATTGTTGGCAAAAGCCCTAAAGGCCGAATGAGCACTTTAGATAATAAGTATCGGAAACTTAGAGGCTTGAAGAAACGCGCCAATTATAAAAAGCCACAGAAGACGTGTGACGCTATAACTCAAAATAAAGATTATGGTGAACAAAGCTCTAAGCCGGATGTGAGTGATGATATTCTTAATTTAATGAAGGAAACTTTTATATCCACTTTAAAAAAAAGTGAAGAAGAAAGAACACGGATTGAGCGGCAGACCATTTTGCAAAGCGAGTCTAGCGAATGGCTTGAACTTAGACGTTCTTTGTTGACAGCTTCGAACTTTGGCAAAGTGATCAAAATGAGGCCAGATACTAGTTGTGCCAATATAGTAAAGCAATTGCTATACAAAATTAATATAAATGCTGCTCCTATGCAGCACGGAAGAGAATATGAAAAAAAAGCGCTACAACAATTATCTACGCAAGAAGCACTGGATATAAGACCTTGCGGGCTTTATATAGATCCCGAAATTCCGTATTTGGGGGCCACACCAGATGGGATTATAGACGAAGAAACAATAGTGGAGGTTAAGTGTCCAATAACGGCATTTAAGACAGGACTAGAGGAAGCTATTACAAAAAAAAAAGTAAATTTTTGGATTAAAGACAAATTAGGTAATTTAAAGATAAATAAAAATCACAACTGGTTCTATCAAGTACAGGGGCAGTTACACGTGACTCGGAAAGCAAAATGTGTATTCGCTGTATGGTTCAGTGAGTCGCAACCACTGAAAACGGAAGTCATTTATAGGGATGATGATTGTTTTGAAAATAAAATGAAGTCAAAGTTATGTAATTTTTATTTAAATTGTATATTGCCTGAAATTTTAGACCCCAGACATACCAGAAATATGGAAATACGTAATCCAATCTATATAATTGAAGCCATAAAGAAAAAAGAAAAGAAACAAAAACTTGAAATCTCCAAGAGGAAAATACAACGCATAATTCCAATTGCTGAGCAGGCAAACACAACGCTTTCCTCCTTATATCAAGAATCGACACGATCATCAACACCAGTAATTCCAGAAGCGGATCAACCAACCTGTTCACGATACTTGGATTATAATGAATTTTAACTTGCACAAAATATTCAACGGTTGATTTAATCTTGACAGATTTATGGTGTGCCTAACATGTTAAGATAAAATAATTAAAAAGTACGCAAAGTTTATTTCCTCTTTTACTTAATTTAGCACTTACACATATAAACCAGATCATCATTATAAGTGGAGTGTATACGAGACCTGAGCTTCCTCTACTAACTGTGCAATAATGGCATCGACTGTCCTCAATTACTGGAAATCATCATCATCATCATTACTGCCTTAAATAAGTCCACTGCTGAACATAGGCCTACCCCAAGGAATGCCACAAAGCACGGTCCTGAGCCACCTGCATCCATCGACTTCCTGGATGTCTTATCAGGTCGTCACTCCATCTCGTGGGGGGTCGCCCTATACTTCGCCTACCGGTACGAGGCTGCCACTCAAGAACCTTTCTTCCCCATCGGTTGTCGGTTCTTCGAGCTATATGGCCGGCCCACTGCCACTTCAGCTTACTAATCCGTTGGGCTATGACGGTCACTCTGGTTCTACTGCGGATATCCTCATTTCTAATTTTATCACGCATTAATTCAGCATTATGCAGAATGTTTAGACTGTATAATGATATATCTAGGCCATCTGATTTAGATATTTCAAATTACAATTTAAATAATTTGAGAAGAAAAATGTTACTTTATTTAGAATCTAAGTTTTAGATGATAACTGTAGATCCTTTTTAATTTTTCATAAATAGCGTCTGTGCTGATTATGAGAGTTTCTGATAACTAAATCTTCCTAACCATTTCCATTTTTGAGAACAACTTGGTACTTACCTGGTCATCCACATACCTTCACGAAGTGTAACGCACGTAGTAACGTCCGTGCTGAATATGAGTTTCTGAAAACTAAATCTTCCTAACCATTTCCATTGTTGAGAACCACTTGGTACTTATGTGGTCATCCACATATCTTCACGAAGTGTCACGTAGCAGTATCCGTGCTGAATATGAGTTTCTGGAAACTAAATATTCCTAACCTTTTCCATTGCTGAGAACCATATGGTACTTACAAGGTCGCCCACATATTTTCACGAAGTGTATGGCACGTAGCAGCATCCGTGCTGAATATGAGAGTTTCTGAAAACTAAATCTTTCTAACCATTTCTATTGCTGAGAACCACTTGGTTCTTACCTGGTCATCCACATACCTTCACAAAGTGTCACGTAGCAGTGTCCGTGCTGAATATGAGAGTTTCTGGAAACAAAATTTTCCTGACAATTTCCATTGCTGCGAACCATTTGGTAGTTATGTGGTCAACCACATATCTTCACGAAGTGTATGGCACGTAGCAGCGTCCGTGCTGAATATGAGAGTTTCTGAAAACTAAATCTTTCTAACCAATTTCATTGCTGAGAACCATTTGGTTCTTACCTGGTCATCCACATACCTTCACAAAGTGTTACGTAGCAGCGTTCGTGCTGAATATGAGAGTTTCTGAAAACTAAATCTTTCTAACTATTTCTATTGCTGAGAACCACTTGGTTCTTACCTGGTCATCCACATACCTTCACAAAGTGTTACGTAGCAGCGTCCGTGCTGAATATGAGAGTTTCTGAAAACTAAATCTTTCTAACCATTTCCATTGCTGAGATCGAGTTGGTACTTTACCTGGTCATCCACATACCTTCACAAAGTGTCACGTAGCAGTGTCCGTGCTGAATATGAGAGTTTCTGGAAACAAAATATTCCTGACAATTTCCATTGCCGCGAACCACTTGGTAGTTATGTGGTCATCCACATATCTTCACGAAGTGTATGGCACGTAGCAGCATCCGTGCTGAATATGAGAGTTTCTGAAAACTAAATCTTTCTAACCAATTTCATTGCTGAGAACCATTTGGTTCTTACCTGGTCATCCACATACCTTCACAAAGTGTTAAGTAGCAGCGTTCGTGCTGAATATGAGAGTTTCTGAAAACTAAATCTTTCTAACCATTTCTATTGCTTAGAACCACTTGGTTCTTACCTGGTCATCCACATACCTTCACAAAGTGTTACGTAGCAGCGTCCGTGCTGAATATGAGAGTTTCTGAAAACTAAATCTTTCTAACCATTTCCATTGCTGAGATCCACTTGGTACTTTACCTGGTCATCCACATACCTTCACAAAGTGTCACGTAGCAGTGTCCGTGCTGAATATGAGAGTTTCTGGAACCAAAATATTCCTGACCATTTCCATTGCTGCGAACCACTTGGTATCTATGTGGTCATCCACATATCTTCACGAAGTGTCACGTAGCAGTATCCGTGCTGAATATGAGAGTTTCTGGAAACTAAATATTCCTAACCATTTCCATTGCTGAGAACCATTTGGTATTTACGTGGTCATCCACATATCTTCACGACGTGTATGGCACGTAGCAGCGTCCGTGCTAAATATGAGAGTTTCTGAAAACTAAATCTTTCGAACCATTTCCATTGCTGAGAACCACTTGGTTCTTACCTGGTCATCCATATACCTTCACAAAGTGTCACGTAGCAGTATCCGTGCTGAATATGATAGTTTCTGGAAACAAAATATTCCTGACCATTTCCACTGCTGCGAACCACTTGGTACTTATGTGGTCATCCACATATCTTCACGAAGTGTCACGTAGCAGTATCCGTGCTGAATATGATAGTTTCTGGAAACAAAATATTCCTGACCATTTCCATTGCTGCGAACCACTTGGTACTTATGTGGTCATCCACATATCTTCACGAAGTGTCACGTAGCAGTATCCGTGCTGAATATGATAGTTTCTGGAAACAAAATATTCCTGACCATTTCCATTGCTGCGAACCACTTGGTACTTATGTGGTCATCCACATATCTTCACGAAGTGTCACGTAGCAGTATCCGTGCTGAATATGAGAGTTTCTGGAAACTAAATATTCCTAACCATTTCCATTGCTGAGAACCATTTGGTATTTACGTGGTCATCCACATATCTTCACGACGTGTATGGCACGTAGCAGCGTCCGTGCTAAATATGAGAGTTTCTGAAAACTAAATCTTCCTAACCATGTCCATTGCTGAGAACAACGTAGGTCTCTCAGAGGTCGAATAAAATTGTGCAAATAAGTTGTCATATCTATACATCGTTAATTTTTGTCTACTATTTATGTAGTGCCATTGTGGTACGTCTGTCTTTTGGTAGGTGTCGCTAAATTTAAACAAAGTCTAAATCGTCAAGGTTACTGACCATTGTAGAAGCCTTAAGTGCAATATATCTAGAATTAAGTCTTGAGTTTACTAAGAGTGCGGAAAACTTTCGTATGGATTATTTTGAGTGAAATTTTGTTAGTATTATTTAATAAAACGTACTTTGTAATGTAAACTTTAATAATTTTAATTATATTACAGATTGATTTTCAAACAAACTTACAGTCCAACGGAGGCCAATATATGGCTTCTGCAGTCCATGGACACCTGCCACCAACATCGAACGAAGAAAGCTGCAAATGCGTTGTCACTTATAAAGTGATATGTGCGGTCATTTATTTTACCAGTTCGCAATATATCATTAATATGCAGAAGAAACAGCCTTGTGAAATACCAGCATTTATAGGCTTGTAGTCGGAGCACGCACCGTCTACAACGACCTTGATGCTCCGATCTGTAAGAAAGCTGGTGATCCAATTGCATAATTTCTTGGGAAGCTCATAGGAAAAGAGCTTCGAAAGAAGCGCTTGGTGCCAAACCCGATTGAAGGCCTTTGCAATGTCCAAACTAACAGCCAATGCCTCTCCCTTGGATTTTACATCTATGAGTAAGGTATGCCAGAAGATCACCAGCAGATATGTCTATAGGCTAGAGCAACCACTTACCATTACATTAGGTGGACTGTGTGCTCGTTTGTCAAAACTATTGTATAAAATGTGTGGATACTTTAATATCAATCTCCTGGAAACTTCTTCCATCAGTATTAAATTTTGCTCTTTGTTCAAATCCTATAATCTTGATAATTTATTCTTTGAAAGTACACGTATTGCAGGGTGTAGTGCAACTTGTATTGATAATATTTTTGCGGGTGATTTACCAATCAACAAAACAATAATTTAAAAACTTAGTTCACATCACTGTGGACAACTGGTTTCATTACCTTATATGCACAAAAAACAGGTAATTGAGAAAAGTGTGTTCGTTCCTATTAATTCAAAACGCCTGGAGAGATTTAGAAGTAATATGGTAAAAAACCTTCCTTCGCTTTCTTATAAGACCAATGCAGACTATTTATATGGAGAAATATTTTCCCTTATAAGCAATGAATTTAAAAAAAAAAAACATTTACTTCTAAAACATTTTCTAGAAACAGTCGCAAGGCATTTTATGTGTGGGAGACAGTAGGAATTCATAAAAGCAGACGAAGGTTATATGACCTTTGCCATGAAAGTCCATATAATCTTTCCGATGCTTTTAAAAAATATGTCAAAAATTATTCTACAATATTTAAAAGAGTTTGCTCTATAGCCAAATCGTTACATATTAGCAACAAAATTAAGACGGCTAAGAATAAAATTAAAATGACGTGGAGTATAATTAACAACGAAACCGGTAAAGACAAACCTCGTCACTCAAGCTATCAATTATAAATTAACAATGAGTTAACTAAATCAAATCAAGAAGTCGCAGCGGTGTTTGAGAAATATTTCACGGATATTCCTATCTTGACAATTTGAATACTTCTCCAACTGTTGCTGAATCACTACTCAAATAGAATGTTAATACCTATTTAAAAAATTTAGATTTGAAAATGTACTATCGGAAGACGTTGTAAAATACTTCAAAACTATTGATGTTAAGAAGACCGCAGATTTGTGGATGATTTCCGTTATAGTTATTGCGTCTATAATAGATTTAATTGCACCTCATCTTGCTATTATTTTTAATACTTGTATCGATTCTGGTGTGTTTCCTAAGTTAATGAAGTATAGTAAAGTAATACCTTTATTTAAATCTGTTAGTACATTGGACCCCGCTAATTTTAGAC